CATCGAGGAGGGTTCAGCCCCCTCCAACTCGTCTTTGGCGAAAACCCTCGCCTTCCACACGACCTCCTGTCCGGCGACAGCCGGGGTCTCCCAGGTTGGCAGGATGTTTCCAGGCCATTCTCGGAACAAGACGAAGCCGGCGCGGAGTTCGCGCGCTCGCAGAAGGTTCGCGACGCCGCCCGGCGCTTGGCCATCGAAGTCACGGCCCGGGACCAGATCCGCCGGGCGACCAAGGCCAGGACCCCCGTGCCCAGGGCGTTCACCCCAGGTCAGTGGGTTTTCGTGTGGAGACACATGTCTCGTACGTCCTCGCGGGCAGATGCCCTGGGAAGGCGCCGAGACGGCTGGACGGGTCCCGGGGTCGTCGTTCTGCACGAGGCCGGGACGGTTTGGGTCGCCGTCCGCGCTCGACTCTGGAAATGCTCACCAGAGCAAGTGAGGCTCGCCAGCTCAGACGAGGAGTACGGCCTCCAGCTGGCCCAAGACCCTCGCTGGCAAGAGTTGCTGCAGCAAGCCAGGACCCGCAGGGTCTCGGCCGTCGACGTGCAGCGTGAGGGGGGCCCACCGGACGAGCCCTGGGACCATTCCCTGGGCAGGCAGCCTGACACGGCCCCGAGGATTCCTGGGGGTCCCCCGGTTCCTGGGGACGAGGAAGCCCCGGCCCCTCCGGCTCCGTCTCCTGGGACGGCGTTGGGCCATGCGGGCCCCGGGACCCTTTCTCGACAGGGCCTTCGTGCCGGGTCCGAGGCCGGGGGGCCCTCGAGGGCCGGATCGGACGTGGCGCAAGCCGGCAGCGTCAGGCCCCGTCTCCCCTCTATCCCCGAGAGCGGCCCCACGGTCGAGGAGAGCACTCGGCCGTCCCGAGGCAGCTCCGAGGTCGACGGGGGCGACAGGGGTCCTGACCCCTCCGAGGTTCCCGATCCCTCCTCTACCTCTGCTCCTCTGCCCCCTGCTGCTGCTTCTCCTCCGTATGTTTCCCCTGCTCCCCTCCGGCTCTCCTCTTCCCTCCTCCTCTCCACCGGCCGAGGAAGGTTCGTCCTCCCGGGGCCGGAGAGTCTTGCGGCAGCCGGAGGATCTCCTCTGGTGCATCCGCGCCAAGGCCGAGGCTGGCCGGGCAGCCAGCAGCCCGCCGGACATCAAGAGGGCTCGCCTCGACTCGGCGCCGCCCGAGTCGGCGGAGCCAGATCCTTCCTCCCCTCCGGTCCCTGGTGGTGTTGGTGGTCCTTCCGCTCCTCCTCACCTCTCTCCTCCTCATCCTCCTCCCAGGACTGACCCAGGTACTGGAGAGTCAGAGGGGCGACCAGGGTTGTCGACCGGCTCCGAGCCGCCCCGGACCGTGGCCGAGAGGGTTCAGGACATCGAGGACCGACGAGCGAGGTCCTCGCTCGCCGTCCCGAGGCGAGCTCGGGGAGTTTTGGGTCGTCCCGGAGGGCGGGGGTGTTTGGGTCCTTCCGGCGGAGCAGCCAGAGTGGACGGGAGCGGTGGAGTCTGACGGAGGCGCTTTCGCCGCGAGCCGGGGAGGCGAGGCGTCTCTGAACCGTCTGTCCCCAGCCGAGAGGGCCAAGTTCACTGCTGCCGATAACAAAGAGTGGGGGGCCATGAAAGCCACGGGAGCCGTGGAGATCATACCTCCGAAGCAAGCGCGGGTCATTCGCCAGCAGCACTGGGGTCGTATCATCTCGAGTCGGATGGTCCGCCGGTGGAAACCCCGCGAGGGGACGTTCGCGGAACCGGACGCTAAGTCGCGGTGGTGCGTCCATGGTCACAAAGACCCCGACTCCGGAGCCCTCGAGGTCTATGCCCCGACCCCGCAGACTTCCTCCATTATGATGTTCATGCAAGTAGCCATGAACCTCAGTCTGTTGTGTGACGTGGCCGACGTCAAGAATGCATTCTGTCAGTCCGACAGGATGCAGAGGGCCCAGGGGGAAATATATGTCGAACCGTGTGATGGGGTCGAGCTGGAGCCAGGTTCCCTAGTTAGGCTGCTTGTCAACGTCTACGGGCTAGACGACGCCCTCATGGCCTGGGGGCGGACCGTGGTTAGGTACCTTGAGTCCCACGGCTTCGTTCGCTACCTCCTCGAGCCGTGCTGGTGGATGCGCTGCGACTCCAGGGGCCGGCTGCTCAATGTGATGTCGTTCGAAGTCGACGATTTTCTCATCGGGAGCTCCAGTCCCGAGTCCAGGCAGTGGCTTAGAGGGGTCCTGGAGGCCAGGTTCAAGTTTGGCAAGTACCGGGACCTCCAGGCTGGCGCCGTCGACTTTGCTGGACGGCGCATCGCGGTCTCCCAGGACCGGGCGGCAATCGACCAGGAAAAGCACATCTTGGAAGAGGTCCGAGCACTACCGATGGCCAAGGGGCGACTTTCACGAAAAGACACCCCACTGGAACCTCGTGAGTTTCGTGCCCTCCGATCTTTAGTATACAAGTTCAACCGGGTAGGCCGCGAGGCCCGCCCAGAGGCCGCAGGAGTGGCAAGTATTCTCGCGAGCAAGCTGAAGCAGGCCACCACCGGAGATGTCATCATAGCCAACAAGTTGGCCCGTCACCTTCGGGCGTCGGCCTCCCGAGGCCTGGCCATCTGGAAGCTGAACCCGGACAGAAAGTCCTTCATCTCTTTTTCCGATGCTGGCGGCATCGGGTCCACCGAGGGTTTGTTGGACGATCGTGGCCTTCCTGTTGACCCAACGCAGGGGGCCTGGATGGTCCTGGCGGCCGACTGTTCCGTGCTAGAGAACAAAACTGTGAATGCATCAATCTTGGGCTGGCGCTCCTCCAAGCTCCGGCGCAAAGTTCCTTCCACTCTAGCCGGAGAAACTCAGGCCCTTTCAGCGGCCGTGGCTGAGGTGGAATTTCTGCAGATATTGTATCGTGACGTTATGTTTCACGACGTCGACACTCCCGACTGCCATCGGGCTTCAGGACCATTCACCACGGTCCTGCGGAGGGATTGCTCACTCGGCTCTCGTGAGAGACAAGTGCACGTCGTGGATGCCAAATCCATGTACGACGCCATGCAGAAGGAGGGGGTGGCCTGTGCACGCGACCGTCGCACGGCGATCGATCTGGCAATCATCTGTGAATCTCTCGAGCGTGCCCGTGGGCACGTGAGATGGGTACCTCATGGCCGTATGCCAGTGGACGCCTTGACCAAAGAAGATGTTACTAAATGTAACGCGGCGCTATTCGATCTCATGTCTCATGGACGTCTGATACTAGTTGACGAGGACACCGAAGTGGCACGGCGTCGAGAGACCCCCAGCCTCAAGAGCAGAAGTCAGACCGCCTCTCGAGACGAGCTCTCCCGGAACAACCTCCTGGCCTGGTTCGAGTTCCGGGACCCTCCCTGGCGGTGATGGTGGTGGTGGTGGTGGTCCTCCTCCTCTCTCCTCTTCTCTCCCTATCCCACTTTCTCCCCTGTCGTCTCCGCTTTTCCAGTAGTGTACAGTACTCCATCCTTCTTCTCGTTTCTCTGTGACCTGGGTGAGGAGCCAGCTCTGCAGCCAGAGCCGGGCAGTCTCCCCAGGCTCTGCCAATCAAGGGAGCTAAACCTAGGAGAAGTTGGACGAGTGTAACCGACTTCCAGAATTTGATTGATAGGTTTAGCATTTGTAGTTCATCCTTGGAGACCTGTAAGGCAGGTCACACTAGTTTCGTGGTGCTGTTACCGTTATGGCTCAAGGCCTAAAACATTCGTCCAATCCCTTGCTGCCACATATAGCTTCCTGCGATCCAACACAGCCCAGGCGGCTCCGACGACCGCCCCGAGGCTCCTTCTGCATCTCTCCCTCACGCCCAAGCCCGCCCAAGAGCGCCCCGACAGCGCTACACAAAACGGCCAGGAGGCATCCAAGAGAGGTTCAGAACGTACCCAGTACGAGAAAACCAGGTCACCACGACCCCATACTGCCTCCCCAAGAGCTTCTGGAGGAGTCCAACACGGCCCAAGAGGGCCCCAAGAGAGCGCAAGATGGCCCGCGCGCGCCCGAGATGGCCCAAGAAGGCTCTTAGGTGACCTTAGGAGCCCAGGAGGTCCCGAGATGAATCCAAGATGGCCCCAACTGGTCACACCAGGGGCCCAAGAGGACACCAACAATACCCAGAAAAGGCCCCCAAGCGGCCCCCTGGAAACCACAAGAGGCTTGAAAACCTCGCTCAACCAAGACGCACCCGAGCAGCACGCCCAGATACCCAAACAGGTGTGACACGCCTCTGGCCACAATCCCAGCACAGTGGCAGTACGAGCCGAAGGCTCCTCAGGCTTCCAAGAGGCCCAGAGAACTCTCTCAGAGGCCACGCGTCTACATTCTAGACGATGTTTCCACAGCGGGAACATCGATGCGGACTCCACCACCCAAACCGTCCCTGGGATGCGATACCGGGCGTCGGACGCCTTTTCCGCAGTCGGCACTCCCAAGTCCCACGTGCTCTGCTTGCTGCGATTCGCAGTCGCTGGCAGTTGGTGCCTTCGGGTTAGTAGTAGGAGGAAGAGGAGGAGGAGGAGGAGGAGGAGGAGGAGCGCTCGCATTCGTAAGGGGAAGGGCCGTGCCGACAGCCGTGCCGTGTGTCGCGGGCGTCAGAGGTTGAACCCTCCAATCCCTCCTCCTTCCTCATCGTCTCCAAGGTGACCCGAGTCGTTCCCCCAGCCGCGAAAAACGGTCAAGGGGAAGTGACCGGGGCGGGCGTCAGAGGTTGAACCTTCCAATCCCTCCTCTTTCCTCATCTTCTCCAAGGTGACCCGAGTGGCTCCCCCGGCCGCGAACAGTTGTCAACGGGGAGTGACCGGGGCGGGCGTCAGAGGTTGAACCTTCCAATCCCTCCTCCTTCCTCATGCTCTCAAGGGTGACCCGAGTCTATCCCCTGGCCGCGAAGAGTGGTCAAGGGGGAATGGCAGGGGCGGGCGTCAGAGGTTGAACCTTCCAATCCCCCTTCCTCATGCTCTCCAGGGTGACCCGAGTCGATCCCCCGGCCGCGAAGAGTGGTCAAGGGGGAGTGAGTGGGGCGGGCGTCAGAGGTTGAACCTTCCAATCCCTCTTCCGCCCTCATTTTTTCCAGGGTGACCCGAATCGTTCCCCCGGCCGCGAAAAGCGGTCAAGGGCGAGTGACCAGGGCGGGCGTCAGAGGTTGAATTTTCCAATCCTTCTTCCTCCCTCATTTTCTCCACGGTGACCCGCACCTGCTTCCAAGAGGCTTCCACCACCACGTCGACTTCCATGGTTCATTCAATGACCGCGTCTGTGCTTCGTACGCAGTTCCACCAGCGCCTGCTCCAGCCACCGTTTCGCGAAACACTTTTCGATGTTCCAAATTAATTATTTGGTCCGACGAATCTGCATTCCTGCATTGTTGCACCCTTTCTGCCAATGCTTCGGCCACTCAATAATCGACCCCAACGCCATCCCTGAATCTGGCACGCCGCCTTCAACATGCCTCAAACATTGCACGGGCGTCTGCACGAACCGCTCCGCCGAACCACCCCGTCAAACCAACGCGCTGCATTCCATCCAACCAGCGCGCTTTGACGTCGCACGTCCATCCCAACAACCACCGGCATAACCCACTCCATCACCACACCTGTGCTTCTTTTGGCACTCCAACTTCGCCTGCTCTTGCCACCGTTTCGCAAGGTTCTGTTCAACCCTACCTCCGTTACGCAAGATCTGACTAATTTGCGCGCGTGCATGCAGGCATTGCCTTGCGTGGTCCATTCCATCAGCATGCTTGCGTTTTCCAGATAGTTCCACCGACGCCTGCTTCATCCACCATTTCGGAAGATTCCGATCGACGCTCCACGAAACCTGATCAGGCGAAACTGCTCGCGTGCCCGACTGCATGGGCACATTCCTTCAGCAAACGATTGAATCACCCATGAATGCCCCTGTTCCATCCTTGCGCCCAGTCCACAGCTTTGAAAATGCTTGAAAACAGCGCATGACCGCTTCAACGAGCCGCTTCACAGAAACACCCCGTCCAACACCTTTCGCCTGCTCTGACACACCTGCGCGCCTGCACGTTTCCTTCGTCGCGGGTCCAACCCCGCAACGAGTAGCATGGCTCCTTCCATCACCGCGCCTGTGCTTCCTACGCCTCTCTTTCTCTCTCGTGCTCTCTCTCTCTCTCTCTCTCTTTTTCTCTCGCCCTCCATCCCACCCCGCTTTACTCTCGCCTTCTCGAGCAGGGTGTCTATATCTATATATGACGCGTGTCAATGCACATTGCACCAATATCGTTCCCTCTGTTTCTCTCTAGCGTGCTCTCGTCCTGCCACCGAGGATTTCGGCTCAAGCGCCCGGCGCCCGCGCCCGAAACCCACCTGCCCGACGCGAGGGTGCCGTCCAAGTGCCGCGGACCCCTGTGCGACATCGCTGCCGCATCTGGTCGGCCACGCGCTCGCGCGCAAACCACTTATGATGGTATTTGCCCCGACAGCCACCACCACAGCAACGGAAGTTCCAAGAACAACTTCCGCTCCGGTGCCCGCCGCCGCTGCAAGAATTGGCCGGCGTGTGAAAAATACAAGCAGCACCGTTGCGATGGTCATTGCGCTTGTTGCTTCGCAAAAATCAAGGTCGAGGCGCTCACGCAAAAACGACGAGCATCTGAACTGCGCCCAGATCCATATGCACCCGCACGAGCGTCCGAGCCACCGTCCAAACGCCCTCGCCTGCAGCCTGTTCCCAGTCCCCACTGTACGAGTCATCCAAACACCGATCCGGATTTGCCTTGTCCGGAAGCTCACGACGAGCTCACGGCTGCCCTTCTTGTGGCAATTCCATCATGTTTGGCAGCAGATCGTCCCAAATATACCCGCATCAACCGTCCGATATGTTCTGCGCGATCCTGCCGTTCCATAGGGCCCAAGTCAATCCCCAAGCATGCCATGGAATCGTGCCAACATGACCCAATCCTGCTGGAAGCTGCTTACCTCACCTGCAAAGCATGCCTCAAATCTCCCACCTTCTCGTTCCTTGGATGTGCTCTGCGGGTCGCTCCACGTTTTGGCAAATCGGCCGCGCCGACCGTGCGCGCCACGCACTACGCAGATCCCAGCCAGAATGTCTCGCGCGAGTGGTCCTTCTGTCGCAACGCCGAGGCTGGTTGCCGGCTTTTGGCACTGCGCCGCAGCGGCAGTAAATGGTATCGATGTTCTGACGGCCATGTCCCATGCAAATTCGCCTTGGTCGGATGCCCGCAGAACGTGCCAGCAGGTCTTGGGAAACGATTGGCTTGCAGATCAGCTTCCAGAGCTTGCCCTTTCAATCCCGATTCCAACGTCCAGTGCGTCACCCCGTGGTGCACAGAGACACCGTCCTCGAACGCTGATCGCCGTTGTCGTTTGTGTGCCGCGGGTTTGTTCCCATGCCACAGCAAGTGTTTTCGACGATCCATCCCGAGCACAGCGGGATATTGCCAAACATGCTACGCCAACCAACCGCCACGAAGTGGCACCCAAGCTATTCGAGAGTCTGCCCTTGCACCCGACGCTGACACCTGTAAAACGCCACGGTGTCGCAGCAGCCCTGCTGTCAACGACATGTGTTATCCCTGCGCCCATGGCCTCGTCCCATGTGCCACGCCTTTGTGTCCGATGAGAGCTCCCATGGGGAATGACAGCCTGTGTTATCTTTGCAAACCACCGCCTGTGCTGCCACTGTGCTCCACAGGCACGTGCAACAACATCGCCGACACTGCTGGTGACACTCACTGCACCCTTTGCATCACGAGTTGTCCACCATGCACCAACAGTCTGAGGTGCCACGGGCGCACGGCCCCTGGACAGCGAGGTCTATGTCGAGGTTGTCTCGCATCGCCTGCATCTTCGCCAGGGGTGTCAGCTGCACCGTCTGGAGAGCCGCCGCCAGCCTTGGAGAAGTGCGCATATGCCACGCGCGGTTGTGCGAACTTCAAATCTGTTGTCCCGGACCTTTGTCCAACCTGCTGCTCGTGTGGCGCGCCCTGCGCGAGTGTTCCACATGGCTGCCTCAACCGCATACGCTTGGACCAACCATCCGACTTCTGTTCAGCCTGTTCTCGCGGACGTGTCCCATGCCGTGGGCCTCGCGGCAAAGGGTGCGCACACCCATGTAGAAAGACGGGTGACGTTCGCCGAGGCCGACGTGATCGTGGACCTGTCTGTAAACGCTGCGCCGAACGTAAGATGCCCCTCGCTTCGCGGAGTGCACGTGTGAATCGTGTGAAAACGGAACCGATTCAGGGAAGGGCCTGGGATGTCTTTTCGACTGCCCCATTTAGCAACTTTTGGAGCCCCCTCTGGGGCCGCCTTGGTGTCTCTTGGGCTGTCTCCGGACCCTATCTTTTATTGGGGTGGTCGCATTCACCGCTGGGCGCCCCATCTTCAAAAAAAAAAAACTAAAAAAACGGACCGGGGTGGGGAAGGATCGAGAGACGTTGACAATTTCACACGCCTGAGAACCCAAAAGGGGCCGGACGATATCAGCCGCCTTGCGTCAACGAGTGGCCGCTTTGACCCGACACCACGCCCAGTCCACAGCAGCTCAAGTTGACGTCCCTCCATGCGCCGTAGACTGGTGCACGCGCCAGGGAAACCTGCTCTGTGGCGTCTCAGGCAAGTGCGTACGCGCGTGCTCGACTCATGCTCCCTGGTTCCGCCCGCGAAGAGACAATTCCAAAGACGGCTACCGCATCGGCCATTTAGCTGCAGCCCAGGTCCTCGATGCATACGTGTTCGGGCAAATTCCTGATCACTCTCTGTCCTCATCAGGCCATTTCGAGCACCAGTGCCCGCATTGCGGCGCACTCCATTTCACTGCTGAGCGCGTTCGCACAATTTCAGGCGACAGAGCTTTCTCGCTCTGCTGCCGACATGGTGCTCTGGCGGACCTTCCCGTTCTGGCACCCGCGCCTCCAACGCTGGGCGCACTTCTCGGTCCAGTCGCTGGTCACCCCGACGCAGCCGATTTCCAAGCAAACATTCGCTCATACAATGGAGCCATGGCGTTCGCATCGTTCCCTGACCTGCGTGGGCCTGCTTCTGGAGCGCCCCGATCGGGAGCGGGCAATCGAGGCCCTTTAGTTTACATTCTCCATGGGCGTGCTCATCGCATCGCTGGCAACCTTTATCTGGAGCAGGGGCGCCCAAGGTATGCGCAGCTCTATGTATTTGACGCCAACGAAAGCACCGACCTCCGATCAGCCGCTTTCCCACAACTCAACTCGCAGATACTCACCCGACTGCTTCAGATGCTCACTAAAATGGTGCAAGTACCCACCCACAGGCAAGATGCTACACCTCGCGCCTCGGATGCGTGCATGACACTGAGGCCAAGATACCCATACCCGCAACATTTTCGCAATATGCACGAACAGATTCAAGCCCATAGCGCATCAAGTCCAGACAGCGGTCGCGTATCACAGCATGCTCGCAGATTCGCGGGGGGCGTGGACAAAGACCCTCGGACGTACAATCGCCCTTCATCAGCCGAAGTTTCTTGCGTGATTGTGGGGGGAGGTCCGCTCCCTGATCGCTTCATCGCAATCTACGATCGGCGTTGCAGTGCTGACGCTCCCTCCACGCACACGCTGTCATGCCTAAGCGAACACGTGGATCCCCTGACATACCCATTGATTCACGTTGATGGTGTTGTCGGTTATTCATGCGCCTTGTCGGGACGGCCCGATCCTGGAACGCTGCAGCCCCGTAAGATCTCCATGGCCGATTTTTATGCCCATCGACTGATGCAGCGACATCCGCACGACTCAACTGTAGTAGATCTTCCACGCGGAGCCCGTCGTTTGTTCCGGCAATACCTCGTAGATGCTTGGGCCAAGGTGGAGTCCATGCGTCTCGATTGGATGCGACGCAATCAGAATCAATGTCGCATCGATACGCTGCGGGGTCTGATGGATTACCTCTCTCACTCCGACGACCGACCCGATTGTAGCCCAAGCAATGCCGTCATCATCAATTCTGGCACGCACGCGACACTTGGGAACCCAGCATCAATGGATCCACATGCCACCTGCAAATTTCTGTCGCCGCCTACCGACACCATCCCGCCTCCTGCGCCAGGCACGCCTGTCATCTTG